GGAACCAGGCCCATCAGTTCGATGTGGTTCTGGATATAGATCAGAATGGGCTGGCCCTCTGGGAATGCTGCCTCCCTCCCCTTCCTTTAGCTCTGATCCTGTGCTCTTGCTTCCTCCCATAGCCTATGAATAGGTATTGTCCCCTGCTTTTAAGATAAGGGAACTGGGGGATCAAAGACATTAGGAAACTTGCCCCCAAATGCATACTGGTAATTGACAAAGAGTATCCCATCTAGGGCCTCTGAATCTAGGCTCCTTCCATCTCTGAGGACCTTCTGATCTACCTGAGAGCCTCAAGACCTTCTTCAGCTTTGCCTCACCCCATCCCACACCATGCCCCCTGTTGAGAGGAGTCCTCCCATCCATGTGATGCCACACGCACACCCTGTCCCAGTTCACAGTCTAGGTGGGATTTCCAGATGCTCTGAAGTCTCCTTGGAGGAAGGCTCCGAGTCTGAAGTGGCCAGTTCTGGAACCACACTTGGACGCACCAAGTAGCCTCAGAGTGAGGAAGGCTAGTTTCTTCACGTGCCAGTTCAAAGGGAGTTGGAGGAGTTGCTTGGAGAGCAGTCCTGGCATGCGCAGTGCGCTAGTAGACTTCACCACCAGTTCTCCGGATGAGGTCAGGACAAGCCCTGATTTGCAGCATTTACCAATTTCCATGTTGTCACTGCTCCCACCATGACCAATTTCTAGCTACCAACATGATGTCAACCAGCTTGCAAAATGCCTGGAAGTTTAGCAATTGCTTTTCACAGGCAGGAACAAGACAGCTCCAGCATGTCCCTTAAGGATCATATGCTGTCCTTGGTCCCTCAGCCTCACCCCTGAACCCCAGATCCTGCAGACAGCCCTGAGGCCTCTTCCTTGTGTTCCAGTCCTTAGGAAGTGATGGTCTCTGGCTGGAAAAGAAAAATATCTTTGCAGATAAATAATCATTCTGGAGGAAATGCCAAATTGGCTGAACTGTCCTGCAGGACCTCCTCAGGCCAGCTCTGCTTTCTCCTCGCCCCCCACCCCACACCCCGCATTTCTCCCCTCCTGAGCCCCAGCAACAGCCTCTCAGGTGGGACCACTTAGGATGCTGGCCAGTGACTGCTTGTCGATGTATATTTTTATTCTGTGCTTTCCTCTAATCCAGCAGGAGTCTCCCACCCTCCCCACCTTTCCCCAACCTCCTGCCTAGAGAGGGGAAGGTGAGAGGAAGGAGCATTCCCTCCACCCTAGAAGCTCATCTGATTAGAAGCCCTTGTGGACTCCTTCCCGGACGCAAGGAAACTCACTGTCAGTGGGCAGAGCAGAGCATCCCAGCCTGCTCGCTCTCTCACCCATGAGCAAGCAATGTAGACGTAGCTGTACCTTGCTTTATGAAAGAAATATTCTGGAACTCTCATGTTGAATGGCAACAACCACCTCTCCAACTGGGAGGCACTTTTGAGTCTCCAAAGCTCTCTTTCATACCGTGCAGCCTCTGATCCAGCTCCTGCCAGCGCTGTGCAGCAAGTGGCGATTATTAAAGCATCTGAGCCTGTCAGTTTGAATGGGCTTCCCAGGGCACATTACCAAGTCACCCAATGAGAGCTTCCCTCCCCTCCACAGGGGTCCAGCTGATCTCTTGGTCTCTGCATGGTCCTGCAATGGTAGAGACTCACCACCTCCTAAAAGTGGCCCATTCTAGCCTTGGAGGGCTCAGAGACATGGAAACTTATGAGTTGGGTTGAACCCAAATCTGGCTCTATGTTCTATAGATTTAATGCACTGCTGGTAGCTTGACCCTTTGGGGCATGCAGAACACAACTGATATAATCTACTCCCTCCCACAGAAACTCAAAGGAGGAGTGAGTGCATGTGTTTCTCTTCATTCCCCAAATCTTTCTTAAACATTCCAGATTCTTTCCAATATTCTTCAGACGACTTATGCGGCACCCCTCCACTAGCTGGGTCACCTTCTCTGCATGTACTTCCCCGCACCTGTCTCAGGAGAGTGGGATGGGACTGGAAGCTTTGTGTGTGCTCTGCTTCTCAGAATGCATCCTCAGATAGCGTTAGTTTATGTTGTTTTTGTTTGTTTTTTCAACAGACACATTACACATTGGACATATTGAGCCTGCTGTCAACTAAAACACTGCTGCTGAGCTATGTCTCCTCTGTACTGCACTTATATTATTGATTTTTTTCTTGGCCCATGTGTTAGAAGTGTTAGATTCCAACTTATTTGATGAAAATTAATCTTATTAGACTTAGCCTATTGCCAAAATTTGTACAGATCTCTTGGATCACCCATAAATATGTGGGGCATTTCTTCAGACATCCCATGAATCACTAATGAAAGTGTTACAGAAGAGGGCTAAAGACAAAGCACTGACACTCTCCTAGAAATCTTCCTCAACCTGCCATCTACCCTTTAATTGTCACTCTTTGGGCCTAATTTATAATCTATGCAACTGCCATGTCTTCATGTTTCCCATGAGGGAACCATGCAGGCCCAGGCTGAGCTCACTTGCACCATCCATGTCTTCTGCTTTCCTGGTCGACCAGCTTAGTAGTCATGTTCAATCCAGAAAATGAGCTCCGTCATAGCAGTCACTCGTCCTGGCAACCCTCAGCACACTGGCCTTGCACACATAGCCCAGCTCAGTGCTGGCTAGATGGCAGGGACTCGAGGAGTATTTGAAGGCATGATCAGTTGCATTAGTGAAGGAAAGAAACGAGCCCATATAAATGTGCAGATTAGTATTTCATTTTTCTGATTCTACCTTCTTTCTCTGTTTTGAAAATTGCAACAATATTTGATTCTATTTTGTCGCTTTTAGCACCTCTTTGATACTCTTAAATCTTAAAAAGCTACCAATTTGCTTACTGGGGAGAAAATAGGGGCTTAGGAAAGCTAAGGGTTTTGCTCCAAGTCCTCTCTGAACTTCTTGGTTGGAGGTGGGGGAGAAAATAACTAAGCAAGTAGATAGATCGTTTTCAGTCACGGTAAGGCCTATGAAATAAAGCAGAGAACTGCAAGGTGTTTTGTTTCACTCCAAAGAGGTGATATCTGAGCAGAGGGAGAGAAATAAGGTAGCAGATATCCCAGGGGCATCAGCACCAGCAATAATGTGCTTGCGTCCAGATGTGTTTCTCCCAGAAAGCAAGGACGTCCATCATACAATGAACTTCCCAGCTATAAAATATCCGATTCTTGCAAAGTGCAGTCACTCATTTATTCACTCATTCATCTTCTCAACAAATACTAGGCGACGACTCTGCCAGTTGCATGCAGATGGCAGGTATGAACCAGGCTTTAGTGTAACGTATAGACAAGGAAAGCAGGTCCCCCACACAGCTGGTTGAAGCTAACATGGTGCCATGGGCTGGCTGGCAGAGGGAACAGTTGAGGCATGTCACTGTTCAAGACAAAGAAAATACAATATCAAAGCATTAAATGTTGGCATGATGGTTATGAAAAATTTTAAAGTCATTCAACTATTTCTTTAAATGAAATCTTTTTTTTTTTAAAGATTTATTTATCTATTTATACAAGCACTGGGTACAGTCAGAAGCGCGGGAGGGTGAGAGAATTCACCAGAGCCAGAGCGGGGAGCAGAGCAGGCAGAAGGACCGAAGTACACTGCTGAGGGGAGCAGTGGGCATCAGGAGAGGTCTGCGCGCCATGTGGGACCCTCCTCCGGTGGCCGGGGAGCAGCCGGGGATCAAACCGGCGCTGCAGAGGCTGCGGGCAGCTTCACAACCCAGCGCTCAACCGCTGCGCCACCAGGGAGGCCCAACATATAGTATTAAAAGGAGTTGCCCAGGCACAAAGTGAGGGCCCTGAAAACACCTTCAAATACATGTAACGTGGCCTCTCCGTTATAGCAGGTTGAGCACAGGGTTGTGAAGCTGTCCGCAGCCTCTGCAGCTTGGGTTCAATTCCTGGTCAGCCAGGGAGATACCCACATGACCCGGCAGAACTCTGCTCTCTCGCCTGCTGCTCCCTTCAGCAGTGTTTTCGGTCATCTGCCTGTTCTGCTCCCCACTCCGTCCCTGGTGAATCCTCCAACCCTCCCGCACCTCTGGCCTGTACCCCAGTTCTTGTATAAATAAAAATAAATCTTTTAAAAAAATGTAACATGGGATGAAAACCATTGTCCTAAAGTATTTGTCACGACTTCAAACAGAAATCTGTTCATTGCCCACTAAAAATTGCTTAACTTTGAGGTCCCAGGAAAACCAAATTTGGAGAACCATGCAATTGTCAACTAAAACAGTTATCTTTAGCTTGCCTTGAATGAAATAAACCTCTGCTGAAACAAAAGCCGATTCAGCTATTTTTTTCTGCTCATCCAAGTCATATCTGACGTATTACTGCCTAGTACAGCTCAAGTGACTCATAAACACAATTTAAAGGGCTCGTCATTTTGTTTCTTTCTGCTTCTGGGCAAAAATTACCCCCTTAATTTGCATTAAGAATCATCTCTTTGAGGGCCTCCCTGTTGGCGCAAGGGGTTAAGATGCAACCTATGAGCTATCTGCAGCCACTGCAGCACAGGGTTCAATCCCTGGCCAGGGAGCTATCCACATGGCGCAGCAGACCTCTCCTGTCTTGCCCGCTGCTCTCCTCAGCAGTGTATTTCAGTTGATCTGCCTGTTCTGTTCCCCACTCTGTCCCTGGTGGGTCCTCTCACCTCCCGTACCTCTGGCTTGTGCCCCAGTTCTTGTATGCATAAGTAGATAGATCTTTGGAGGAAAAAAAATCATCTCTTTAAAAGTGTGCTGGTGCACCCTTAGATTTTGGATGGTCCTAAATTGTCTCCCTAGACCTTTCTCATGTGAAGAAAGGTCTGTTCTCTTCCTTCATAGCACATATACAAATAGATACTTGTTATCCCAATTCTCTTGCACACATTTTTTTAGCCACACACACAAACTGTAGGCCAAAGTAGACCCCACAATTCCAGCTGGGGAACCAGCTGTCCTGGCAGCACTAACCCTCCACCCTCCTCTCTTCTCTGCAGATGACGGCAACTGCTCAGGCACCCTCGAAGGCCCAGGCTGTCCACATCTCCGCACCCTCGGCTGCGGCCAGCACGCCTGTACCCAGCACCCCCATTGACCCGCAGGCCCAGCTGGAGTCCGACAAGCGAGCTGTGTACAGGTAGGAGACAGGGCGGCCTGCTCTGAACACCCAAGCTGCTTCAGACCCAACTCAGAAAGGAGAATGCAGGCCAGTGGGTGTGCTGAAAGGCAGCACCCAACAGCTGCTCTCTCAGCCCCTTCTCTCCTGAACCAACCCAGCCATCCCTCAGAGGGCCACTGTGAGTTGAGATTCTAACTTCCTGGAGGTTTCTAGTAAGGACTATAAAGGTCTGGGCAATATCTTCCAGAAAGGACCCCTTCCTCACCCCAGCTGGGGAGTTGAACCCTGTGAGCTTCAGGAGTCCTCAGCTCCACAAACAGGCTAGGACTAGGAGACTCTGTCCTTGCCCTGTCCCCCATGGTAGCCTTCACCCCAACTCTCCCACCAGAGCACTGGACATCTGAGGGCACCATCTAGGATTTGATATTATGCAAATTTTAGTATGTCTGAAAGTCACTGGATGAGCTTGCTAAAAGAATTACTTCTAACTCTGCTCCGAAATGCTACATCAGGAGGTCACACTGTAGAAGAGAACTATGAATTTTTTAAAGGCATTCCAGGTGGATCTAAAACCACCGGTGCTTGGACTACACTCTGAGTCAAGGTAGGCTTTGTTTGGGGACAACAGGTGTTGTATGCAGCCTGTGAGTTCTAGTGCCCCTTCCCAGACCGGGAGTTGCCTAAGAGGTGGCAGCGTGTCTTGCTCTGCTTGGGCCCACGCACCCAGGGCTGGACCCTGAGCACCGCCTAGTGTGAAATGGGCCCAGGGAAATTCCTTTCTGTGTGCATGCCTGGGGAGAAGAGGCAGCCATTCATCTGAGAACAGGCCTGAAGGAGACTCCAGTGGGATTTTAGTCATCATGTATCTACAGGGAGCTATGCCACAGAGGAGAGATGCCTGAGTCAGGACTCAGTACTGAGGTGGGATGCTTGCTTGCACTCACAAATGCAGTGAGCGCGGCTTACCTCTGGCTGAGCAGCAGGTGCTAATGCCAGCATCATGGGGACAGGTCCTCCAAGCTAAGTAGGAGGATGGAGTCCTTCCTCTCTCCTCCCTGCAGTGACAGTGTCTTTATGATAATGGTGATAATTACTGCTATTATTATCATTATCATTGGCATTATTTTTAGTTGCTCAGATGAGTTGAATACCTCTCATGCCAACATTTGAGAGTCCGGGGTGATGAGTCCTGGTCCATAGATCCTGCCATGAGGGTCCTTCCCAACCCTGGTGGAAGGGGTTAGCCCCATCCTGCCAGTGCACAAACCAGGCCAGCTGCCTGCAGACAGCACACTCTGCTTAGGCCCCAAAGATCCCCCTGGATGTGGTGAGAGTGACTGGGCATTCCTTCCTTCCCTTTTGCTGAGCCCTTACTGTGAACACATGGAGGCACTGTGCTGGACTCCAGGGGAAAGAGGACAAACCCAGGGAGGTAAAGGCCTGGACTCTTCCCTCTAATAAGAAAGAGATGGTTGTGCAAACAAGACACCTGCAGTGTGGCAGGCAAGGCTTCACCAAGGAGGCATTATTTGAGTTGCATCTTGAAGTCTGAGTAAGAAACTTCACCAGAAGAAATGAACTGGGGTAGAAACTTCCAGGCAGAGTAGAGCCTAGAATGTTCCAGCACTGGCCAGTGACCAGAGTTGTGTGGTCTATGGGAGCTGTCTCTCATGATGTCCCTTGGAGTATAAAACTTTTCCTTCAACCCACACTTCCTCCTGCTCCCTTTCACACCAGAGTTTTCCCTTTTCCCAACTGGCCAACCAGCTCACAGCCCTTGGAGTTTGCCCAAATGATCTCCTTAGGCAGCTGAAGGTGAAAAAAAACTCTCAGGTCAGATGCCACCAACTGCTCAGCCAAACATGGCTTCCCTGCATCTCAGGACAACCAAGCTGATATCAGCACCTGTGCCCAGCTTCTCCCCTCCAAGTTCAGTCCTTCCTGCCCTGCCCCAGGGTTCTCTCCCACAGCCACGCCTCTCCCATTAGTACCAGCAGCAGCCCTCTCTACAGCCATTGCCTGGACATCCAGGGAGGGAGCTCAGGCTCCTGTAGGGTCGGGTAATTTTAATTAGATTTGCCTGCCTGGGGCAGCCTGGCTGCTCCGAAGCACACCAGGGAGTCAGCATTTCATGTCAGTAAATGTAACAAGACCCTTTCGATTCAGATTAGTGCCCAGCACTGACTTTTAGGAGCCCCCACTGGGGCGCCTTCCAGAATCCCAGATGAAGGAAGGGTAGGGGAGCACCATCCCAGACCAGCCCCCTGCAGGGGGCCGTCACACACAGGGGCCATGTGACAAAAGGGTGTGTCTGTGAGCAGAGGGAGGCTGCCAGTGCCCTAGAGGTTTTATTTGTGTATGAAGATGTGTTAATGAAATGTATTGGTTCCTTCTGACTTGGAAGGGGGGTGGGGCAGGGAGGGACAGAGAGGGAGAGAGTTGTGTAGGGGTGGGAGGGGAGGCAGAGTCTGTCTTAATTGGATCACACCAGCGCATCATCTGGGCTAATCAGCAAGGCAACCAGGAGCTCCCGCTCCGATTGATGATTTAGGTCTAATCCCAACAGACCCAAGGACTGGATGCACATGGCGGGTAATTGTGTTTGTAGCCCAGGAGCAATGCTGAGCGGGGTTCTGAAGAGGGAAGACTCTGCAGTAGCGGCCCATTTCAGTTCTCTTCTTTCCCACCCTACTTCAACCCAGGGAATTTTTCCCCAAGAAGTTAGAAATTAGCTGGGACTGCCCCGCCCCCGTCTCTGCACACCCCTAGATGGTGTTGGGTGCTCTCTGAGTCCTGGGGGTTAGGTTGCCAGCAGCTCAGAGAAAGGGCCAAGAGAGTGAGGTTAATCCAGTTTCTTTCTCCCTCCACCCCTCCAGTCTCCTTTGCTCCCCTTTGAAGTGAGTGGGTTCCCATGGAAACCACAATGTCCTGGGGAGCAGGAGAGTGGCAGGGAGCTAGGCCTGGCCAGGTGCACAGTGGGGGAGGAGGTTGGCTTTGCTGAGATTGCTCTGCTAGGGCTGAAGACCTCACTGAGAACTCAGGAAGTGGCCCGCCAGGCACTGAAGAAGTAACCTATTATTGATAGCAAATGCAGGGTTAGAGGCATGAGCAGAGAGAATGTCCTGGGCCCCTGTGCATTCCATCTCCTTTAAAAATGCCAGAGAATCAAGTTGCAGATCTGACAGAATGGCACTCTTATTCCTCCTTGGTGCTACCAGTTAAGATCAAATTGATTAGGTCAACATGGTTTCTGCTTCCCCCACTAGATCGTTAACTCCATGAGGGCAGGCAAGGTCTGTGTCTGTTTCATTCATTGATTTATCCCCAGTCTTACACAGCTTGGATAGCATGTGTAACAAATCAATACTTGTTAAACAGAATCATTAAGTAGATTAGGTTGTATATTACCTCTTTAAATAGATCACAGGTCTAGACTGCTATGCTGGTGAGGGCAAAGGAGAGCCCAGATACGCTCATTCTGGATATAAATGTCCCCCCATGATCCATTTGAAGCTACTAAAGTGACACGGCAGGGGAAGAGAGACACACATTTGACTGCCACCAGCTCAAGGTATGGACCCCATACGGGGAGCCAGGTTGCAGGTGCACCCTCTGTTTTAAACAGGGGATGACTGTTTCAACACCTTATAACTGATTTGCTGAAATAGTTTCACTCATACCTGCATCCCTACATTCCTTGGTCTCCACTGGCCTGTCTGGTCTCCTCTGAGGTCCTGAATTTAAAATGTTCTCTTAATGAATTAATGCGTAGCACAGAGTAAGGGCAGTTGTGCTTTGTCACCCCCAAGGCAGTGGATTTTCTCCTTCCTAGATTCTGCCCAGCACTGTCTATCTCTTTCATCTGCTTGAGGAAAGCGCCTCTCTCCTCCCCACTTGCCCACCTTCTCCAAATAACTTCCAAACCTGCCTTGGTTTGGCCATTAATGAACTTCTTCCTGGCAGCTCCGGAAAGCCTGCATCAAACTAGTCTTCTGCCTTTTCTCTAGCTTCTCAGCTTTCAGAATCTTGACCTTTCCATATAACATTTCTCATGCTTCTCATCAGTCTCATCTCTCTGTAAGCCACAAACTTAGAGGTTTTCCACCAGGTGTGACCTACCCCTAGATACTGCACGCTGAAGCCAGTGCTAGGTCAAAAAAGCAATATACTTGTCTAAAGCCCCGTTGATATTACACTTGTTCCTGTCTCATTCAGAATGGATCCCTCTGAATCCACATTCATTCGGAGGAAAGAACAGAACAGGGCAGTGGGCTGCATGCAGCTTGCTCCCTGGAGACCATCCTCCTAAAGGTCCCTGAATTGTCGGCCTTGATCCTGCCAGTCCTATAGCTCAAGGTGTGAGTGCAGAAGAGGGGCTGTGTGGCCGTGGAACGAGCTCTAGAAATAAACTTGGTGAGAACTTGCTTTGTCACCACGGCAGGTTCATCAACCTGAGCCTCTGCTTCTCAACTGTAACAAAGAAAATAATAATAGCTAGACTCAAATTAGATAACATATACTAACACCCGGCATACGAGTCGGTGTTGGCTAGATGGACTGGGGTGGCGTGGAGTGGGGTGAGGGGGATTAGACAGAGGGTCAGCATGCACCCCCTTGTCCTGTTCAGGACATGACACACAATCTGGTGGATTCAGGGTTAGGTATGTGGCCTTGCATTCAGGGGTCCTGGGTTTACATTCTGGCTCCACTACTTGGCACTAAATCTTTTGGGCCTCCGTCTGCACATCTGTAAAATAGGACTCAAAACTGTGCTATCTTCATCAGCGGGGATTCATGAGATAATCATCCAGTGCTTGATAAAGAAGCTGGCACATGGCACGCCCTCCGTGGGTGTCGGCTACTGTTAGATGTTTGGGAAATGGCAGCAGGTGAAGGTGAGCAAAGGAAGGTGAGTGCTGAAAGACAGCACAGCAGAAAGAAACTAGACCCTAACAGCTCCCAGGGCCCTGGTCCTCACACCACAGTTCCATGAGACATTAGTTGAGCTCTGCTATGTA